CGAAAATGTACGAAAATAGTATGCGTTATGTACATTATAGATTTCTTTAGTACTTTCATATGCAATATTTTTCAATAATACGAGCCCTTGTGTTCTGAAATCCTGTTTTCATTTCCCGACTGATTATCACAAATTTTAATAATTATCTTTGTTTTTCAGGATAGTGAATACTCCATACGAAGTTGTAATGGCAGAAGATATCACTTGTAGACTGCTGTGCCACAATCCAACCAAGTTGATGACTTGGGACGAAGCCAATTCCCAGCACGTTATCCAGATGGTTCAGCATGAATATTTTGTGCACTTGTTAGAATCTTATTATACAGCTGGGATCACACGATGCTTGATTTCTTGAATGCTAAACATGCATACATGCTTATAGCTATATACTTTGAGTGCGTTTGGGAAGACGCTATTTTACGCCCGTTTTACGTATAATAAACGATAAAGACAAGATGACAAAAGTGGCGCTAATAGCGTTTCTCCAAATAAACCTGAATAATAAACATGGAAATAAACATAAATAATATAAATAACATTAATATAATAATAAACACAAATCATATATACCAGCATATCATGTTTAATTCTTAAACATATTCCAGCATACATAAGAGTAGCAGCCTGCATGCTCATTATTTAAGAAATCGAGTATCGGTGTGATCCCAGGTTAACAAGAAAATGTGTTTGCGTCGTCTACATTTTGCATTTTTCCAGGTTGATAGATAATTTACCAGCGGCTACTAGAAAGAAGCACAAAGAAACGAATAACGTGGTCGTTTATCAAGGATATCGCCTAGGCGGAATTATGAACGATCAAGTATATATCAACAACTATCTTAAGCTAAAATTAAGCTATCACAAACACGGCGAGTTAGTATCTATTCCATACATTTGCAAGAGTTCACAGAACTGAGGAAACCCCACAGAAATGATGAAATGATCATTTTATTTACAGAAACGAATTTAGAGTAGTCGGATTCGAGGTGGAAGCTCGATCTATCGATATATCTCAATTGACATTTGACGGGAATACTTGTATTTTACCAAACGAGGCGAGTCCGCAGTTTGTTAATCCAAAGGGCACGAGTCTCCTTTTCCTATACTCGGTGGAGTGGAAACAGTCAGACGTCAGCTGGGCGAGTAGATGGGACGTGTATCTCGGCATGAGCGACGTAGAAATCCACTGGTTCTCGATTATCAATTCTCTTATTGTCGTCTTCTTTTTATCTGGTGAGAATGCAATAATTATGATTGTGAGCTTTTGGAAAAAAGGCAAAAAAAAATTTCTTGGGATGTTTCACTTGATCCATATAAAAATGCATTGTTATTCGTCAGATGCTTAAGGTCGTCAAATATATAAATAATAAAATAAAATATACAAGGTAGTCCCAAAATAATCGCCAAATATTTCATGGGCAGGTAAACCGGACTAAACTGAATCAGAAAAATTGCAAGAGACAAAAATTGTTTATTTTTTTCTCATAGAACTCTAAGAATTTTTTAATACCGTATTTTCTCATGTTCGTAAAAATAAGAAAATGCACTAAGAAATTGATAAAAAATTCTGAAAAAATTTGTAGAGTTCTATGAGAAGAAATTAAACAATTTTTGTCTTGCAATTTTTCTGTAAAGTTAGTATTTGAATAAAAAATTATTGAAGATCAATTTTCGACAATTTTTAGTAATTAATATCTTGTTAACTATTGCAAAAATTTCAAAATGGTAGAGAACTTTTCGATTCAGTTTAATCCGCTCTACTTGCTCATGAAATATTTGGCGATTATTTTGAGACATCCTATATAAGTATATAATTATTTAAAAATATAATGTAAAAAATATAGTGTAAAAAATATAAATATATAAGTATATAATAATTTAAAAAACATCAATAATTTTGTTGTACTTTACAGAATTTAAGATGTTAATTTCTGGATACGTATTCATTGCAGGAATTCTTACGATGATCATGGTAAGGACGCTCAGAAGGGATATAGCCCGTTACAACGCAGGCGAGAGTGACAGTCTGGCAGGTTTGGACGAAACCATCGAGGAGACAGGCTGGAAACTGGTTCACGGAGATGTATTTCGACCACCAAACAACTCGCGCTTATTCGCCGCCGTAATCGGCAGTGGCATCCAGATATTTTTCATGGCTCTGATTACGATATGTAGGAATACATTGAATCCTATCAATGCAATGTAGAGTATAGCGAGTGTATGTTTGTTTACACCCGTCTGTATTTCTGCAGTCTTTGCGATGCTGGGAATGTTGTCGCCGGCGAGTCGAGGAGCCTTGGGCACCTGCGCGATATTTTTGTACGTGTTCTCTGGTTTAATCGCCGGCTACTTCTCGGCCCGATTGTACAAAACTATGCGGGGTCGAGAGTGGAGAAAAGCCGCTTTACTGGTAAAAATAGACTGTATCTATCTAATAAAATTGACTTATACGCATTTCTATTAATGTAGATTAATTCTAATCTCTCTTTAGTTCTAGAGATTAAAATGGAATCTTAACATTGGTAGAAATTAGTCATATAACACGAATATATTTTTCTACGCAATTATACTTCTATATTTTTTCCCAATTTATTAAACGAAACTTATTAATGAAAGTATATCCTAGTTTCTAACGTACAAATATTGATTGCAGACAGCGACGTTCTATCCAGGTATAGTCTTCACAACATGTTTCTTCCTAAATTTCTTCATATGGGGAAAGCATAGCTCCGGTGCGGTCCCCTTCACCACGATGGTAGCCTTGCTATGCCTCTGGTTCGGCATTTCGCTACCTCTCGTCTATCTTGGTTACTTCTTTGGCTATCGCAAGCAGCCCTTTACACATCCAGTTAGAACGAATCAAATTCCTAGACAAGTTCCTGACCAACTATGGTATATGAATCCAATATTGTGGTAAGTTTGGGAAGATAATTTAATCGATTTTTTTATTTCTTCTACTTTATTTATTAATATGGAAATAGTCACTGGGATGTTTTTATATTTATGCACTCCACTATTCGCGATTTTAACGTAGATTGTAAGTTCATCTCGTTCTTTGATTAATCACGAAAACTCTGGTCGCTCTTGCCGTTTAGACTTATACATGTATATATTAGCATTTTTTAAATTTAATATAATATATAATTAATAGAGTAGTTTTCTATTATTAAATATTAATAAAGGAAATATTGCTTGTAGCACTCTAATGGCTGGAATCTTACCATTCGGCGCGGTATTCATAGAACTCTTCTTCATCCTAACTGCGCTCTGGGAAAATCAGTTTTACTATCTTTTCGGATTTTTATTCCTCGTTTTTTGTATCCTTGTAATTTCATGCTCCCAGATATCAATAGTCATGGTCTACTTCCAGTTATGTGGCGAAGTAAGTATAACGAAAAAATTAATTACAAAAAAATCTTATTGATTTAATATTCAATGCGATATTTGATCTTTTTTCTTAAGAATTATTTTTCATTTAAACTTTGAACTTAATTTTTCTATGTTCTATCCTCTACACTTTAGACTTAAATATATTTTTCTCATTTTCTTGATTCATAAAATTTCTGTTCCTTTATATGTGATATATATATTTTTATTTTTCATGCTTTGACATTTTAATTCCAGGATTACAGGTGGTGGTGGCGCAGCTTTATCGTGAGCGGTGGATCCGCAGTCTACGTGCTGGCGTATTCCGTTTTTTATTTCGTCACCAAACTGAAGATCACCGAGTTAGTGCCGACCCTCATGTATTTCGGCTACACCGCGCTGATGGTCCTCACATTCTGGCTACTGACCGGCACGATCGGTTTCTTCGCCGCGTATGCCTTCATCAGGAAGATATACGCGGCCGTCAAGATAGACTAGTCAAAATTATCATTAGTAGAGTAATGCGAGTGAATAAATTTAGACTTTTAATTTAACCGAGCGAGAAAGAGGGGGAGAGATAGGGAGCGAGCGAGAGAAAGAGTGAGAGAGAGCTGATATTTCATATTGTGTAGAAACGATAAGTGAAATGAACATCTCAATGGATGCATCTCATCTTCCACGAAATTTCGAAACTGCGAACATTGCACAGAATTTTGTGATTAACGTGTACGAATATTTAATGTATTGACATTAAGATTTTTATTTGTCCATTCTTTTGTACTCGTTATAATAAGTGTAAGTTCCATATTCGTCGCCCAGGATTTGAAAAACCATCGCGAATATAAAAATTAAAAGTAACAGGAACAAAAAATGAATATTGAAAACATCTTCAAGACAGCATATTTTGTTTTCCTCTTATTTATTTTCATTCATTTTCCTTTAAACTAAATATTGTAGCAAAAAGAGAACTAAATATTTTTATTTTAAGAGAAAACGTATTATTTTTGTTATTTTGTTTTAATGGGAAGAAATAAGCTTCATGTATTTGTAAATGTATACAAAATACGCGCATGAGAAAGGCACGAATATGGAGTATCAGTGTATAATAAATCTATTTTATTTATATGATTTTTAGATTTCTTCCGTAAAAGTACTTATAATTCGATATACGCGCGCGCGCGCGCGCGCGCGCGCGCACACACACACACACACACACACACACACGCACACGCACACGCACGCGCACACACACATGAGAAAATAATTGATCTGTTCCACGAATGTTGGCTATATCAATAATGATCCTTGTTAAAGGACAAGGAACTCTGTAAAAATATTCAAGTAATGTGATATTAGTAACAGTCAATGTGCGAAAGTATTATATAGCCGATAAAATGAGCCAGTCTAAAGTGTTATCGTTTTCTTTAATGTAAGAACACAACATACAATATCGCAACTGTCTCAATCGATCATTATTATAATAACAAGCACAGTAAATGAATAATAATATAGTTTGTAATATTTACATTCAGTACAAGTACATATTTTCATTCTTCAATTTTTGGATGTCGTTATCGCAAACTTCCGCGCGCCCAGTTCCGCTGAGACTCGACTTGTCATTTCTTTTATAATAGTATCACTTACGTTGATGCTTATATATAAAGTCCTTTAGTAAATGTGTCTCGAGTTCTCCGTAATAGAATTCTATGTACATCGAGATATTGACATTGTTACAATTTACAATATATCACAAAGTGTTTTATACTATTACTGTTGTAAATAATACGTGATGGCTAACGTGTACGAAAGATGTATACAGTTCTAAATTCGACAATTACACCCTCTATGGATCTGCATTGTATATAGAATTATTATACGTTCGTTTACGTACGAACGTGTTGTAATAGTTAGTCAAGGCATCTTCTCAAGCGCGAGTATGCGTGCCGCCTCGGCCTGAGTTTTATAATCAAATATATCAGTATGCATAAGAGACTACATGTATAAATAACGATCACAGTAGATTCCACGGGCATGTAACACTTGGAGACGGAATAATTGCTGGGAGTGAAAGTACCCTGAAATAAAAATAATTCATAGATATATTATGTCCCAACACACAGGGATAATTAACTCATTGAGAGAAAGCCATAATATAAAGAATTCCAATTAAGCATATTATGCCCTTATCTGCTGAAGATCTCAGTCTAATATCGGAATCACTAAATAGTTATTTAAAAAATTCCATGCCCGGAAGTCAGATAATAAAAAGTTTGAGGAATCATTATTATTTTTGGCAAATAATAAATAATACTCCTTAAATTAGCGATATTTTTATATCATATCATTTTTCTTCACTTTATAGCTGAACTTATAATGTTCCCAAAAGTGAAGAATTGTTAATGAGTTAACATGAAAATCTAAAAATTAAGATTTACCATCAGAAGAGATGGGTTGACTTTATTGCGCCAGCTGAAAGACGACATCGTGAATTCCAGAATGTCATCCCGATGTATCCTCCTGCAGCCGTGATGTGTGTGACCGGCGACGATCAGTCGCGGATTCAATATATCTAGAAGCTACAAAAATCGAATTTCATCTTAATGTCGAACACGTGGCTGTGCCATTCAATGAAGTTACCAAATGTACCTGCTCCGACGCTTCTTTCGACAAGCATTCCCAACGTTCCCGAAACTTGATGGCCTTTAACTCATCGGGAGCCTGATCCAATTCGTTGCAGATCTCATCTGATTCTCGATACATCGGATAATGCTGGAGAAGAGACGATACTTCTGTTAATCTTTCACTCGCAATTTTTTCTTCAATAACTTTAAAAATTAATCTTGCGATTCTTCAAAATTTCTAATTCTTATGCTATTTGTGAAAATATTTTATTTACGAATTAGGAAGACTGACTTGCAGTAATATGGGCCTACTGTATCTGGAAATCGCGCTGGCATTATAACAATCGTTGCCGATTCTTCTCGCACATTTCAGATCCTCTGCAAAATAATACACATGTAAACTTGATAATTAATCAATTACAAAATGATATGCTACACTCAGAGAAACAGACATTAGTCCATATTAATTCAGATCTCGCTTTTATCGATAAACTTGCGTGTTTATTTCTGAGATTCTATAATATATATATAATGTAGAGTATATACTAAATTTATCGATAAAAAAGTGAGTGATGAATATGGACCATAGTGGTAACAACTTACAAGTTTTTTATGTTATTGCAATTATATATAAAATATATTAATTCTACATAAAAAAAAACTTATTGTATTATTGTCACCTTTGTTACTATCATTATGCTTTTCTCTGAATGCAGTATAAGAACGAACACGTGATAGCTCACTAGCTATTTTATTCACTGCGACCTCAGTTGGTCGACATAAGAAACAGCCGTCCCCTTCTAATGCCATACTGTTGATCAGCACGAAGTGATTATCTCTTAGACTCAGCCGTCGCACGTTCGGGCTTTTCATGCCATTAATGAAACGCTGATTGCGATATGGCGTAATTGCTGAAAGCGTATTCCAGGAGTTCAGCCATAAATATGTTATCAAAATATATGTTTACATTTGATTTAAATACGAAGGAGGAATTATACTGGATTTGTTGTTGTCCGAGACTGATCCTTTGAAGATATATTCTTTGCCGTACCATAATGAAATCCCATATCATGATTTCCAGCGACGACATAGATACGCGTGTCTTTAGGCACGTAGAATAGGGAATGGAATCTCTTTATGTAGTACTCGAATTCTGCGGAGCCGCACCATTTGCCTTCGTCGAAAACATCTCCTGAATATTATGAGATAATGAAACAGCAAGTCTTTAAGCTGTATCAGATTAGATATTGAGATTAGATTCGAATTTAATCAATCAGAAGAAAGAAAATCAACATCTAATTTAGTGAACTTTGCTTTAATTAATAAAATTCCAATCCAATTTCAATCTCTAGTTTGATATGGGTTTTAGAAAACTGTGAAGACACAGAAAAAGTCATAAACAATAGCTACTTTCAGTAATTGTTATAAAATTCAAAATTCAATTGTAAATTTATATTATTATGCAATTCTTTAATATAATTGGTCTGTCCTCAGTTCCTCAATGGATCTAAATATATAAATTAATCATATTAAAGAATTTTACAATTACAAAGCTACTTTCTCTTAATCACAACCAATAATATATTAAAATATTATATTAATACTCACCTAATATGAAAACTACGTCCATTCGGTGTAATGTCATCATTGTTTGAAATGCTCTGTACATTTGCCATTCTCTGGAGCAACATATATCAGTTTTTTTCAGTAGACATCCAAATACATTTATATAACAAAATCTTCAATATGCAATATGTAAGGCCTATTCTCTTTACCTGAACTTTTTACACAACTTAACTTTTCTCTTTTCTCCAATGTGAAGAGAAAAGAAGGAAAGATGAATCATGCAAGAAATTCAGCTAAAAAGAATAGACCTATGGTTGAAATTACAGGTTTGGAGGCACAAACCTTCGAAGTTTATCAAACCAGTGGCCTTCTTTGGAACCTAGTAAATGGGTATCTGCTATAAACATAGCTTTGATAGGTTTGTCTGCTGCATCTCCATGTAAAGTGGAGTCGTCCTTTTGAGGGTCCAGAGTGGGCCATTCGCACTAAAAATCAAAGCGACTTTCAGAGTTTGCATTAAGGACAGAGACTGTGTTCCTAAGCAAGATATTTTTGCATGACATATTAGAAGTATCATAAAAACTCACCTGTATAAGCACCACATAATATATGAGATATTCGCAGAAAAATAATATAAATACTAAAGTTAAACCCACATTGAGAAGGGCTTTGAGATGTAACATCCTTGAAACTATTCAAAATTCATACAAAATTAAAATTAAAATTTAAAATATGAATCTTTATTTTATATTTATAGTTCCGATAACGTCATTTTTTGACTGCCTGTGCACTGTGTAAACCATGTATGTAATTGACATAAAATTAATATATGGCTAATCATTACTGACGGAGCTTGCCAAAACACATTAAGTACAGTGGAGATACTGCAGGTGCAGACAAGTGCATATATCAATCTCTCACTTTCAGCACATGCGTATAACATTTATCTTATATATATATATATATAT